GAGGTGAGTAAATAATAAACTTTCCGTTCCTAGATTTGTTGAGTGAGTAAACACTAAATGATCTGTACTCTAGATTCAGTGAGGTGAGTAAATAATAAATTTTCCGTTCCTAGATTTGTTTAGTGCTAAATGATCTGTTTCTAGATTCAGTGAGGTGAGTAAATAATAAACTTTCCGTTCCTAGATTTGTTGAGTGAGTAAACACTAAATGATCTGTCTCTAGATTCCGTGAAGTGCGTAAATACTAAATGCTTCGTCACAAGACTCAGTGAGGTGAATAAACACCAAATGCTTCGTTTTTAGATTCAGTGAGCTGGGTAAATACCAAATGCTCCGTTCCTGGATTCAGTGAGGTGAGTAGGTATTAAACGCTCCATTCTTAGATTTAGTGAGTTGAGTAAACATTAAATGTTCCGTCATAAGACTCAGTGAGGTGAGTAAACGTTAACTGCTCTGTCAATAGATTCATTGAAGTGAGTAAGTACTCAATAATAATACTTAGCAATTGTAATACAAAATGGGAATTTTTACATAATCAAACTAAAATTTAATCCTTGAATTTTACTGAAGTTCTGTATTCTTGCGTAACAGCAATCTTATAGCACTTTAGTTTTCAATATCAGAAAAACTTACTTGTAGTGATTATTTGCGCATTTAAAGAGGAAATATATGAAAAAAAAGCGATGTCGAATAAAAGCCTCTGATATAATCCCTTAACTACTTCCACACAGTTCATCACTTCTGAAGTGAAACGAAAATAACAGGTTAAACTTATTCCCCTGAGATTTTCTAATCAAGGGATTAATTCTCTCCTCCTTTAAATATATTATTTTCAATATTTGCATATTATATTTATTAACCTCATAACTACTGCTTCTTTCCAAAAGTATAACTTTCCAAGTTTCTGTTTTATTCCAAAAATAGATCTTTTTCTTAATTTCCCACATTTTGGTGGTAAGATGTGGACGTGTAATTGCATTGTATTTTGACTGGAAGCTCCATATTTTGTTTGTCCATTGCTGAATGAAGTGTAAGTTTTTTGGTTTGTTTGGAATTAAGCACAAAGCTACACAATGGATATATATGCTCTGCCCACCACGAGTATCGAATTCTGGTTTCTAGCGTTGGAAGTCATCATACATACCGCTGTGCCATTGTGGACTACCTTAATAGACACGTAACTGTTACTTATTTTAACGCGATTTTTGTGAGAAAAAAAAAAAAGAGAGTAATTTCTGAGAATAAAAACACATTTAATGTAGGATTATTTTGTTATGCTTATAAATGGATTAAAGTTACTTGTAATAAAGTCGATCAATATTTCAAATAATGAGAATTTTTTTAAAAAAAAATATAGATTTAAACAGTATACTTAACATATTGACAGTGTTTTCTTGGGACTTTTTCTGGTTCCTGTGTGATTTATAGACTCGTGTTCAGGGTTTGGGCTGAATCCTTTTTCAACTCCAACTAGAAAAACTAAAAACATTTACAAAATTGGAACAAAATTGTCAAAAGTCTTTTTTTTTTCTTTCGTGTTGCTATTTCTTTAAAAAATAATAAGTATATGCTGAATATTAAGTATATTAAAACAAAACTTCGAAAGGTGGGAAATTTCTTTTCAACTTTTTTTTTTTTGTTACGTGATACTCTTATTTATTTGTCATGCGGTTAGGCTGAGAGCTTATGACACTAAAAATCCGGTAGGCAGAGCACAGATAACCCAGCGTGTAGCTTTGTGCTTAAGAAGAAACAAATTTGTTTGTTATGCTCCAATTTTAGCGTTATTAGTCACAAGCCGTGA